GACACAAGAGCCATGATCAAAGATATCACTGCACTTCTGACCTTTGCAATGTCTTCACCAACAGCCTTTTGATAAATAATGTCAGTGAAGTCCTTAGTACTGCCATCAGAAGCAGCAACATTTCTCCAAACAACTTGTTTATTAGAAACATTACCATGGACTCTATGGTAGTTATCATTCATAGAAGCAGCATTGGGTACTAGTTCAACCGAGTCACATTTTGAACTAGAAGCTGTAGGAGGAGAAGGTACCATAAGATGGTTGGCAACAGAGGCCATTCTTCTCCTTACAGAGTAAAGCTCCTTCTCTGACAATTTTCGGGCCATTATCTGCAGAACTCAACAATGGACGACTTCAAGGTCTGCGCTTTGAGCTACTGTTATCCTCTTTCTTTAGGAACAGGGCAGGGAGAGAATGTGAAGGGAAGAAGATAGGGAATCATATCTGGTGTTGACTATTTAATGAAATTTGCGGGTAGAATAGGATAAGATTAATGAAAGTAGCGGTCAAACATTGGCCTTCATCTGTTCTACATCATCTTGTTTGTTGCCTTATTTTATTATTGTAAAGGTGCTTGGGTATTATACGATACCATACAATTTTTTCCTGCTGGTCAAGTTTTTGTTCAAACATTGGCCTTCATCTGTTCTACATCATCTTGTTTGTTGCCTTATTTTATTATTGTAAAGGTGCTTGGGTATTATACGATACCATACAATTTTTCCTTCTGGTCAAGTTTTTGTTTTTAATTTTTTTATTCGACAATAAATGTATTTTGAATCAATTTACATGTTAATGGAGATTAAGTTTCTATAAATATCCATTAAAAAACTTTATGGTTTTTTTTATATCATATCCACTTGTGTGACAAGCATTAATTAAGCTTTTTTTTTTTAATATTTGTTTAGAATTGTCGTTCAAATAGAAATTAGTTAAAATTTATCTTTTAAAAATAATTTTTTTATATTTTTGAATTATTTAATATATTGATATTAAAAATAAATTTTAAAAAATAAAAAAATATATATAATTTTTATACATTTCTAACCAAAAAGATATTTTAAAAAAAAATATTATCATACTTTCAATACCACCTTAATGCCCCTTATCCCTTGTAGCTCTAATAACTAAGAATATGAATTTTTTATAGGAAAAAATTGCATAATTATAAAAAACAAATTTGAGGTGGAAATCCAGTTTAAACTTTTTTTTGTCATATATTTTTTTTTTAGTTTTTATTAGTTATGTGATTCATGCTCCACCGGAAGTCAAATATTTTTATTTTTCATAAAAATATTATATATACAAATTTTTTCAATGTATTTTTATAGTTAAAAAAATTTAACAAATCAAAAAAATTATATACATATATAATTAAATAAATTGAGAACTATATGCTTTAATAAATAAATAAATAATTATTAATGACACCTAAAAACAAAACTTAAAAAATCAAAAGATATATATAGATTAAGATATTTAATCACGCAAGATATAACATTTACCTGATCATTTTTTGCTATTTTTTATTTATTAAAATATTTTTTATTTTATCAAATAATAATAAAAATAGATAAGGATATTAAATTGATTGAATAAAATAAAAAAAATAATATGTAAGGCTACACATATTTGAAATACTATTTAAAAATAAATATTTTTTTATTTTTAAAAATATAGTTCACCTATACAAAAAAAAATCATAGATGAATTAGAAAAATTATTTTAAAAATTAAAAATATAACTAAAAAATCATCATTATTTAAAAAAGTCTCTCTAAATAAAATAAAATAAAATAAAAAAGAGATGGGGTTTTAATATAAATATAATTAAATTTTTATTAAAAAAAAGAGAAAAAAAGAAGCATTAATTGAAATTAAAACAAAAAAAAAAGGTTAAGTACTATTAAGCCTGGCTAGACCACTTCACTAGGTAGGTGCTGTTGGAAAAAAAAAAACAAATGACTTATTACCTCTTTTTTTCTCAAAAAATCAAGGTTTATATTTTTTTTTACTTAAAACACTTATAAATACTTTAAAAATCATGACAAACTTATCAATGACCTCAAAAAACCGAACTCAACCCGAAATAAAAAAATCAACTCGAGCTTATATATTTTTTCATGAACTTTTAAGGTACAAAACATTTAACATGAACTCTCATAATCAAAAGGAATAATTTGACATAAATATTTTCTATTTTGGTAGTTTAAATCGATGTCAACAACATATTTTTATTTCTATCATTGAAATCCAACAATCTTTCTCTTTATCTCTCTCTCTTTCAACTAAGTACCAAAAAATAACAAAAATAAACTTTTGGATCAAAATGAAATTGAAATAATTTTGAAGAATCAAAATTATATAATTTGTGTGATTACTTAAGGTGGAGAACCAGAGTCCATCTTTTTAAATGTATGGTACGTCACCTTTATTTGCCATATTTTTTCATTTTGATTCCTCGTCTTTCAATTTTATTTTTTTATAAAAATTCAAATTTAATTATTTCTTAAATAAGATTAAATTGTCCAAAATAAAGTTTTAGGATCAAAAATAAAAAAATATAAGATTTTATATAGTCTATCCATAATAAAATAATAAAATGTAAGAGGATGAAGGTAAAAAATACACAATAAATATCTCATGCGGTTTAAAGTATAAGGTAATTAGGTATTTAGGTTGTTTGCCTTTCTATAATTTGATTTTGTAAAATTAACATTTGTGAATCATAAAATAGTATTTGAAATTTTGAACATACAAAACAATACGAGTGTAAGGAAATATTAAAAAAAAAAAAACAATGTTAATGCAGCATAGGAAAAAAGACACAATTTATTATAGGTTACATTAGTTACACATGATGTTTTCCTTTTCTTTAATTATTTTGGATACTTTATTTTTTTTATTCTTAATTTAATTTTTTTCACATTAAGTTAACTTGAAATTAGATTTGATGTTTTGTTCTGGTTAGCTCATATAGGATTCTTGCAATATTAAAAATAAGTTTTAATGTTGAATTAATACTCAAATTGATTAAAAAAATTAATTTTATTGATTCAAACTAATTAAAACTTTAAAAATCTATTTTTAAATTGAAAAAAAAATATTTATTGATTTATTTTTATTTTTTATTAGCTTATATAATTTTTAATTTATTTTATTCAGCAAACATATAAACTTTTTAATTTCTTGTTAAAATTTTTATTGATTGTTAAAAAAAAAAAAAACCTTTCAGCCTGCACCGTAGCATAGGGAATCAAACTGGTCTAAATTATAGTTGATGGAAAATCCCAAATATCAAGGATCTAATTGCCCTTTATGATGTCATAAGGCTTAATGTGACTGAGTCCTTAAACCTCATGGACCAAAAGACCTTTCTTCTTGAGATACTGACAGTACCCTTTCAAATTTTTTAGGGCTAAAAATCACAGCATACCCTTTTATTATGTCAATTTAGTCAAATTAACCCTTCTACAATATATTTTTCCAAACCAACCCCTATACTTTTGATTTTGGGATAAAAATTCACTTCCTCCACCAGTGCTGTTAGTTTGACCAAAATCCATCAGTTGACTAAATCTGATGATCCTAATCATGTCATGTGTCGCACACAGTCCAAGATTGAATTGTATTTCTTGAAGGACGAAAATGAAAAGGTAAATATTTTGAAGGGGACTTTTACAACTCTTTAAAAAAGGAGCCCTTCATAGAAACACAAAGATCCTCAGATTAATCAATTGTTGATCGAAACCCTAATTAATAAATTCTAAAATCCCCAAATCAAACACTTATTGAAACTCACCTTCGCTAAAAATAACAGAAATTTGCACCCATTGATTCTCCATCTCTCTCAACTTGAGAGGATCGGGTACATGAAAACACATCACTACCCTTTTCAACTTCTTCAAAATTGGTCTCGCATGCTCATAGAATCTGTAGTTTGCAACAAACTGTGGAAGTTCTGCGGTGTAGTTTTCCTGTTGTTGGTCCGCGTCGGGAGTTGGATTTGAGCTAAGAATCGTGATGTTGTCTAGCTTGATTTGAAGTTTACTTACTTGAATGCTCTTCGGTGTTAGTGTTTGGTTATTGTTTTAAAATTAAAAAAAAAATATAAAGTTGAAAGAAAATAAAACAGAGATAATAAAATAAATGAGACATGTCTCATTGTTTTGAAATGATCAAAATTCATTCTAAAATCATTTTGGAATATCTTTATTTTATTTTTTTAATCAACCATATTTTTCATCTTTTTTATATCTCTTATTTATCGTGAAACACTATATAAATACAAAGTTAAAATATGTCCCGTGAAACAAAGATTAATTCATGTTTTGTTTAACTAAAACCATTTTCCTCTAAAATCCAACATAAGTAACTCTAATTATATAAAAATCTTGCACTTAAGCAGTTATGGTTAGATTAAATGTTGAATATCAGATCATATGAAGGAACAAAAAAAACTTTACATTGTGTCAAAAGTGAAATCATGAAGTCCAAACCTGCAAAATTAATCTCCAGACTGTTCAAGAAATCTGCCGACTCTTATTTAAAACTAATTTATAAAACCTACCCAATATTCCTTTTCTGATCAGAAAACAATCTAAATCTTCATAATCCCACTTCTAGTTTTAACTTTAATCCCTTCTCTCAAATTCAGCAGTACCATTGAATTCATTGATTTCAGAAAAGAGCGACTGTTGAGGAAAACTTGTCATTGGAAATTGCTTGTATGGCTGCATCGGCTGCATGGTTGAGGCAACGGATCTCACTGAAGAATCGGCCTTATTAAACCACGTCCAAGGTGCAGGGTTCTCGAAATCTTATAAATTTCACTCTTGAATCTCAGTATGCTAGATTCAAGGTTTATATACAAACTGAAAATTGCAATAGCAAACAAGAAGCATGTTAATCGTTGCCAAGAAAAATGGCATGACTTTCTTGCAAGCAGAATAAAATGCGATAGAAAAGTTGCAAGAAAACCAGTTTTGCTTCTTAACTTAGAACCAACCTACCAAAAGCTTTAAGCTGTTCTACATCCTTAACATTGCCTACAAAACCAAATTAATTACTACTATACTAATTCGTAAGGCTTGAAAAAGGCACGAAGAGAGGAAAACCTTGCCAGTAAGAATGATAACCCCCACAGAGCTATCATCCCTAGCATCATTAAATGCAGCAATTAGTTCCTTAATCGTCCGTGGCCGGAACGCATTTCTTCTCTCTGGCCTGTTAATAACAATCTACAAACACAGTAAAACCGACATTAAAACAAACAAAAAGGGAAAGACACAAGAGCCATGATCAAAGATATCACTGCACTTCTGACCTTTGCAATGTCTTCACCAACAGCCTTTTGATAAATAATGTCAGTGAAGTCCTTAGTACTGCCATCAGAAGCAGCAACATTTCTCCAAACAACTTGTTTATTAGAAACATTACCATGGACTCTATGGTAGTTATCATTCATAGAAGCAGCATTGGGTACTAGTTCAACCGAGTCACATTTTGAACTAGAAGCTGTAGGAGGAGAAGGTACCATAAGATGGTTGGCAACAGAGGCCATTCTTCTCCTTACAGAGTAAAGCTCCTTCTCTGACAATTTTCGGGCCATTATCTGCAGAACGCAACAATGGACGACTTCAAGGTCTGCGCTTTGAGCTACTGTTATCCTCTTTCTTTAGGAACAGGGCAGGGAGAGAATGTGAAGGGAAGAAGATAGGGAATCATATCTGGTGTTGACTATTTAATGAAATTTGCGGGTAGAATAGGATAAGATTAATGAAAGTAGCGGTCAAACATTGGCCTTCATCTGTTCTACATCATCTTGTTTGTTGCCTTATTTTATTATTGTAAAGGTGCTTGGGTATTATACGATACCATACAATTTTTTCCTGCTGGTCAAGTTTTTGTTTTTAATTTTTTTATTCGACAATAAATGTATTTTGAATCAATTTACATGTTAATGGAGATTAAGTTTCTATAAATATCCATAAAAAACTTTATGGTTTTTTTTATATCGTATCCACTTGTGTGACAAGCATTAATTAAGCTTTTTTTTTTAATATTTGTTTAGAATTATCGTTCAAATAGAAATTAGTTAAAATTATTTTTTAAAATAAATTTTTTATATTTTTGAATTATTTTAATATATTGATATCAAAAATAAATTTTATAAAATAAAAAAATATATAATTTTTATATATTTCTCACCAAAAAGATATTTTAAAAACCAATATTATCATACTTTCAAATACCACCTTGGTATCGTTTATCCCTTGTAGCTCTAATAACTAAGAATATGAATTTTCTAAAGGAAAAAATTGCATAATTATAAAAAAAATTGAGGTGGAAATTCAACTTAAATTTTTTTTTGTTATATATATTTTTTTTAGTTTTTACTAGTTACGTGATTCATGCTCCACCGTAAGTCAAATATTTTTTATTTTTTATAAAAATATTATATATACAAATTTTTTTAATATATTTTTATAATTCAAAAAATTTAACAAATCAAAAAAATTATACACATATATAATTAAATAAATTGAAAACTATATGCTTTAATAATTAATTAATTAATTATTAATGACACCTAAAAAAAACTTAAAAAATCAAAAGATATATGTAAATTAAGATATTTAATCACGCAAGATATGACATTTACCTGATCATTGTTGCTAGTTTTTGTTTATTAAAATTTTTTTTTATTTAATCAAATAATAATAGAAATAGACAAAGATATTAAATTAATTGAATAAAATAAAAAAAGAATAATATGTAAGGCTACACATATTTGAAATACCATTTGAAAATAAATATTTTTTTTATTTTTAAAAATATAATTCACCTATACAAAAAAAAAAATCATAGATGAATTAGAAAAATTATTTTAAAAATTAAACATATAACTAAAAAATCATCATTATTTAAAAAAACCTCTCTAAATAAAATAAAATAAAATAAAAAAGAGATGGGGTGTTAATATAAATATAATTAATTTTTTATAAAAAGAAGAAGGGAGAAAAAAAAAGCATTAATTGAAATTAAAACAAAAAAAAAAAAGGTTAAGTAGTGTTAAGCATGGCTAGACCATTTCACTGGGCAGTTGTTGTTGGAAAAAAAAAACAAATAACTTATTACCTATTTTTTAAAAAACAAAATCAAGGTTTATATTTTGTTGACCTAAAACACTTATAAATACTTTAAAAACCATGATAAATCTATCAATGATCTCAAAAAACCGAATTCAACTCAAAATAAAAAAATTAACTCGAGTTCATATATTTTTTCATAAACTTTTAAGGTACAAAATTTTTTAATATGAACTCTCATAATCAAAAGGAATAATTTAACACAAATATCCCCTATTTTGTTAGTCTAATCAGTGTCAACAACATGTTTTTTTCTTTACCATTAAAATCCAGCAATCTCCCTTTCTATTTCTCTCTCTTTCTACTAAGTATCAAAAAATAATAAAAATAAACTTTTGGATCAAAATGAAATTGAAACAATTTTGAGGAATCAAGATTATATAATTTGTGTGATTATTTAAGGTGGAGGACAGAGTCCATCTTTTTAAATATATGGTACGTCACCTTTATTTGCCATATTTTTTCATTTTAATTTCTTGTTTTTCAATTTTATTTTTTCATAAGAGTTCAAATTCAATTACTCTTTAAATAAGATTAAATTGTCCAAAATATATTTTTAGGATCAAAATTAAAAAATATAAGATTTTATATAGTCTATCCATAATAAAATAATAAAATGTAAGATGATGAAGGTAAAAAATATACAATAAATATCTCATGCGGTTTAAAGTATAAGGTAATTAGGTTGTTTGGCTTTCTATAATTTGATTTTGTAAAATTAACGTTTGTGAATCATAAAATAGTATTGGAAATTTTGAACATACAAAACAATACGAGTGTAAAGAAATATTAAAAAAAAAAAAACAATGTGAATGCAGCATAGGAAAAAAGACACAATTTATTATAGGTCACATTAGTTACCCATGATGTTTTCCTTTTCTTTAATTATTTGGGATACTTTACTTTTTATTTTTAATTTAATTTTTTTCACATTCAGTTAATTTAAAATTAGATTTGATGTCTAGTTAGCTTCATATAAGATTCTTGCAATATTAAAAATAAATTTTAATGTTGAATTAATACTCAAATTGATTAAAAAAATTAATTTTATTGATTCAAACCAATTAAAACTTTAAACATCTAATTTTAAATTGAAAAAAATATTTTATTTTTTTAAATAACATTTTTATCTTAATTTCCTTATCCAATCTTTGATTGAAATCTACATATTTATTATTATTATTTATTAGTTTATATAATTTTTAATTTATTTTATTCATCAAATATATAAACTTTTTAATTTCTTGTTAAAATTTTTATTGATTGTTAAAAAAAAAAAAAAAAAACCACCCTTCAGCCTGCACCGTAGCATAGGGAATCAAACTGGTCTAAATTACAGTTGATGGAAAATCCCAAATATCAAGGATCTAATTGCCCTTTATGATGTCGTAAGGCTTAATGTGACTGAGTCCTTAAACCTCATGGACCAAAAGACCTTTCTTCTTGAGATACTGACAGTACCCTTTCAAATTTTTTAGGGCTAAAAATCACAGCATACCCTTTTATTATGTCAATTTAGTCAAATTAACCCTTCTACAATATATTTTTCCAAACCAACCCCTATACTTTTGATTTTGGGATAAAAATTCACTTCCTCCACCAGTGCTGTTAGTTTGACCAAAATCCATCAGTTGACTAAATCTGATGATCCTAATCATGTCATGTGTCGCACACAGTCCAAGATTGAATTGTATTTCTTGAAGGACGAAAATGAAAAGGTAAATATTTTAGAGGGGACTTTTACAACTCTTTAAAAAAGGAGCCCTTCATAGAAACACAAAGATCCTCAGATTAATCAATTGTTGATCGAAACCCTAATTAATAAATTCTAAAATCCCCAAATCAAACACTTATTGAAACTCACCTTCGCTAAAAATAACAGAAATTTGCACCCATTGATTCTCCATCTCTCTCAACTTGAGAGGATCGGGTACATGAAAACACATCACTACCCTTTTCAACTTCTTCAAAATTGGTCTCGCATGCTCATAGAATCTGTAGTTTGCAACAAACTGTGGAAGTTCTGCGGTGTAGTTTTCCTGTTGTTGGTCCGCGTCGGGAGTTGGATTTGAGCTAAGAATCGTGATGTTGTCTAGCTTGATTTGAAGTTTACTTACTTGAATGCTCTTCGGTGTTAGTGTTTGGTTATTGTTTTAAAATTAAAAAAAAAATATAAAGTTGAAAGAAAATAAAACAGAGATAATAAAATAAATGAGACATGTCTCATTGTTTTGAAATGATCAAAATTCATTCTAAAATCATTTTGGAATATCTTTATTTTATTTTTTTAATCAACCATATTTTTCATCTTTTTTATATCTCTTATTTATCGTGAAACACTATATAAATACAAAGTTAAAATATGTCCCGTGAAACAAAGATTAATTCATGTTTTGTTTAACTAAAACCATTTTCCTCTAAAATCCAACATAAGTAACTCTAATTATATAAAAATCTTGCACTTAAGCAGTTATGGTTAGATTAAATGTTGAATATCAGATCATATGAAGGAACAAAAAAAACTTTACATTGTGTCAAAAGTGAAATCATGAAGTCCAAACCTGCAAAATTAATCTCCAGACTGTTCAAGAAATCTGCCGACTCTTATTTAAAACTAATTTATAAAACCTACCCAATATTCCTTTTCTGATCAGAAAACAATCTAAATCTTCATAATCCCACTTCTAGTTTTAACTTTAATCCCTTCTCTCAAATTCAGCAGTACCATTGAATTCATTGATTTCAGAAAAGAGCGACTGTTGAGGAAAACTTGTCATTGGAAATTGCTTGTATGGCTGCATCGGCTGCATGGTTGAGGCAACGGATCTCACTGAAGAATCGGCCTTATTAAACCACGTCCAAGGTGCAGGGTTGACATAAAGAGGTCCATTGCATGAGAGGTGTTGATTGTTACTGCTACTAGCCTGGCAACCAAATGAGTTGTTATGGCTCTGATAGCTCATTATCTTCATCATCGCATCCTCAGTTGTTTTTGTTTGTGATGGATTCCTATAAGCACTCTGCTTAGATTCATAATGAACCGGCGGCAAAACATTCAATGGCTTTGGTTCGGAGTAAAGAGTTGAATAGCCATTGTTATAGGTCCTCTGATTCAATGAATTTGCATCAAGTTTAGCCATGGGAGAACTCATCTCAGGCTGGAAAGGGATAGGCAGTCGGGCTCCGAATGACTTCCAATTCGAAACAAGCTGCAAGAAATCAGTAGAATCCATATTATCATTGTTGTTACCGTTTCTCTTCCTGCACTCTTCCACGTCGTGAGAGCTAGCCTGCATCCATGATGCATCATTATCCATCACATACTGATATTCTTTGAATATACTGAGTGTATTATCAGCAGTTTCAATTAATTTAGTATCCAATTGACCGAGAAGTACCCTTAGTTGATCGCTAGATAAACTGCTCAGACGGTCATCCCACGCAGGATATTTAGCTTTAAGAACTTGCCTGTGTAATTTAGCGAACTCTGCATCTATCTTCTTCTTCTTGGCAGTAAAATAGTCCGAGCCCTGGTAACATTTTCTTGGCTGATCACATGCCTTGTACCTGTTGATAATACATCTGACTTCATCGGAATTTGAAGGCCAGGTCTCAGCAGTGGCAGCTGGTTGATCATTCTGAT